AACTGAAGGGCATTGTTGAGGTGATCTATACCTCCTTGAAAGTGTTATGTCGGGATAATAGGGCTGAAATTGTTAATGAAAAATTCAATGATTTCAATGTCATAACTTGACATTAATATTGGTGGAATTCGACGATGTTAAACGTTCTTATAGCTATTACGGGGAAAAGTGATTAGTCCTTGAGTTAGAGTTTTGAAAGAGATATTCCAGAGTTCTTCAGGTAATATGGAACGTTTTCAACGAAGATTCCGGGTTTGTCATCACGCTCCAAAGAATTTGGTCTATTTCTCTGACTTATGACTAATCACGAAAGTTTAGAATTTTTAGATATTTGCATTCAAATGTTTGGAATTTACCAAATTACTGCCGCAATTTCCCTGGAATATTTCTTATGAACTACAAACGATGTAATTCCTCTGACAATTATGAGTATCCAAGTACTTCAGACAATTTTTGTTCGAAGAAATTCTTTTCAGGATTCATACAGCTTAGTCAAATGTTCATTTTATCTGGGTCCATTCTGAGCATAATGTAGACCCAAGCAGTTAGGTTCTAGGAATAGTTTACAAGCACATAATTATTGCAAATTAATATCTATCAGGGAGAATCGACTCGTTTAATGATTTGACGATTTATTAAATCAATAAAGACCTTGTCCGGTCCTGAAGGTATCAGGCAAATATAAATTGTAAGGAGCAACTTTAGCCAGTCGTCGAATTAGTACTTGAACGACTGACTGACCCAGAGGCAATGATTTCACAAAGCATCGTACGTTCGATTGCAACAAGTGCCATAGATTTGTTGTATACCTGGAAAGATATCGGGTGAAGTCCCAAGTGTGCGTAAAGGCCGTAGTTGTCAACGGAGTGAAGTGCCGACGCTGCACCCCAGTGACCCACATTATGATGAATATATACGTGGACGTTATCCACGGATATTCGGATCAATTGATATTTTAAAATATTACTTGATTTTGCTTACATGGGCCACTTTGAGTATGTTCATATTATCCGCATCATCAGAGAAATAGCTTCATAGCATATCTTAATGAATGATGCATCTCGGGCACTACATTAGTTTCTGGGTATTTTACCGCGAATTTTTGGTTTGAACAGTGACATTTAAGATATAGTCTCCATAAAGGCAGTGCACTCGAATTTTAAACCATCCATTGGGTATGTTAGACTCTAACAGTTAGAGCATTTGTTTGGCCATATAACCTTGAATAACCTATTTTTTATATTTCCTAGTTTTTTTAAGGTGTTGGCGAATTAAGTTTCCGGACGAATTCACAAGACACATCAAATGCCCTGAATTTGTCCGGTGGCTGTATTGGATAGTCTGATTTAGCAGGTTCCTGATGTCCGGCATCAGTCCGTTCCAATGATTAGTGGAATTCAATTTGAGAGGTTATATGCAGTAGAAGTGCAGTCTTCTCGCAGGATCATTCGAATTTCGACCAACGTGAGCCAAGTTCGAAACTGAATAACATTTTGTTAACAGTATTTATTAGAGAAATTTCCGGAAAGAATTATTTAGTATTGAAGGATGTAAGATTTTGGGGAAAAATCAAATATCGCTGTGGAAAAGAGTTGAACCAACTACTTGGATATTCTAAGGGGGGTCATCAGTAAAAAATAGAAAATTTCTCAGTATGTCAGAGCAATGAAACTTATCGCTGTAGTTGGTTAAGCAGTTTCACAACTTCTAGAATTTTTTCAGAATTTCTTTGAACATAGATTTCGTCAACTTCTTAATTAAAAAAAGGCTTACATAGAGGCCCATATGAGCTTGTCATTTTAATCGAAAATTGACGTTATCAACAATATGAAAGAAGTGTAACTAACGCATTTTCTAGTAGACAGTTACTACAAGAAGGATCTTGCAGGGTTCCGTACGTTGTTTTGTGTAAAAAAAAAAAGATTTTTCTGGACAAAACTGATGAAAATTTCTCATTCAGGTTGGAATTCTGAGCTGGAACGGCAGTGAAACTTCGCAACAAAGATCAACGGTAGCGAACGCATGCGCGGCATTCGGCTACGCGGGCGATTCGAAAGATTATTGGGAATTCGAATACGAAACTAAATTTACAATTGAAATTTTATTAAAAAATATTATTCTCATTTAACAATGTCAAATTGTACTATAATCGATAACATTACTTCCTTTCGTTGGATCCTATTGCAAAGAAAAATCTTCCAAGGTTTCTTTAGCTTCCCCCAACCCCAAGAGCACTAGGACGTTATTTTATTAATTTATCTTCCGTCTCATGAAAAATTTAGAAATATGCTGATAAATATTCTTCAATTTTTGCTCTCGAGATTGGTATTTAACGCTGCTCAATCACTTTTCAATCCCCATGCATTTGTCGAATTGTCGAATGCTAAAAGCAAATTTTCAAAGATGAACAGGTTGGACACCCTCCGGAATCTGGTACTTGAAATTGAAAACCGACGACGGTGGCCGAATTGGTTGAACCGCTCGGCTGGATGAAGAGACCCGTATGGCACAGGCTCGAGTCCAGCCCAACGCATTAGTATCTTTCGAACACCGTCGAATGAAAGTCACCAAGAACCATCGAGAAATGCTGGGAAAATCATTCTTCCTTAAAGCTTGGTTGACGGGCGCCGTACCGGCCAAGGTTTTCTGAGCGGCCGTCGACCCATGATACCGTAAATACAACACAAAAACCCAAATAGAATAGACATAATTATTAATAAAACTATTGGAATTTCACTCGCATCATACGGATAACTGCAGCGTTTTACCGCCACGATCGACGCCAATCCTATGAAAATCAACACCAACAAATACTTTGTTATCACAAAAGTATTTCGTTTCTTAATCAATTCCAACTAGTGAAACTGTTTTTTTTTTCTATCGTCATAAATGTGTAACTGTTGCCAAAAACGATAAATCGCGTCATTCATATGAGTACTCTAATTTATTCATGTATTATTATTTATTAACAAACAGTTGAGCCGAAGCCTTTGCAGTTTACCCCCATCCTACGTTCTCAAAATATACTGATGACCTCTTAAGCGTGTACTCACGATGAGGTCTTTACAGAGTAAGGATTAACACACTATCAGCTTGGTGCTCTCATCGGCATTCCAATGACGTTTCGTGACCAGTTTTAAGTGTCAGTTAAATTTGATATGGCCTTAATGCAGTATTTATTGACAATATTCATACTTGATTTTTTTCTAATTCGGAGAGGTGATAGTCGAATGGATCCCTTAAGCCGAAAGTCCTTCCTCAACTATTTTTACCACTCAAATGACTCGCCCTGAACCTCGAAAACATCCACTCGAATTCGTTCAACAGGGCACAGGGTGGGTCAAACGGACCTCCTGCCACTCATGATTGTTTCCATCTTTTTTGTCTTAAAAAGCATCATTAAACGAATGCAGTTTCTTTCGTTTGCCTTCGATCATCATTCCAATAGTCACCGATGAATATGTATATTACAACTTTTATGAAGACGAAGTGCGGCGCATGCTCATCGGTGACGATGACAGCCAACCAAATAACTGATTTTAATAAGTTAGTTTCGCTAGATACTCACTTCCACTTTTTAATATCCTCATACCCCCGTTTTTCGTAGCTAATTAGCAACTGTGTTAAAAAAATGACCATTGTTTAATGCTCCTCTCTTCATTTGTAATCATTCCAGATAATATTAAGACGCTGCGCATATCGTTGAATCTGTTCTTTGTAAGAATTTATCAAAGAAAGCCAATTGATTCTCTGTGGGGTAAAAATATAAATTTTAATGGGGTTGTTGAGTTGTCTGTTCCACCTGTTGGAAATCCTATCAGCTGACAGGCCCCTACACAGACTCACACACACTGCCCACCCAGCAAAGACACTCGCACTATACGCAGCTATCATCTCTCATCACAGATCACCAACGGTTATTACTTTTGATATCTGAGGCGCCACATCCTGGACAGCTCATTTTTATCCCATACGGATAATATATTCGAGTCATGTGATCTCTTAAAATGAGATCGTCTCCCACTTCGTGGCCTACTGATAGCTACCATTTGCCTATCTCTCGTTAAAGTGTGTATACGGTCTCTTTTTCTCGGAACCGCTCGTTAATCCTTCTCTTCGGAAATTTACTATTAAGTATTTAGTACTGCTCTATCAATTTCAAATGTGATCCACTCATGTACTTTTCTTAAAAGTGACTCAATTGTGGTCAGCTCAATGATCTTTATAATAAATATATTGAGAATTTAAAAGAAACTGCGTAGAATGATCTTTTGACCTGCTCATCGGCTTCCCTAAGGGCCGTTTTCAGCTTTCTATCCTCAATCAAATTGGCAAAGAAACAGATCTCATAATAACCACCACCATGAATGTAATCGTGGTTAATCAAATTGATCAATACTGATCAAAATTGGGAATCCATAACCATTTCCAAAGCAATTAATGTCTGCATGAATAACTCCATGTAAATTTTGGAGGAAGAGCTACGCTCAATCTTGATCGATAGCCAGCCAATGAGAATATTGCTTTCACAATTGGAAGACAATAGAAAAAAAAACCTATAGAATGGGAGATAAGGAGTCCATTTTACGGGCGCGATACGTTTTACCACGCCCCTACGAAAAACTATGAAAGTATAAAAATAAAGAGGGACCATTTTACCCATTAAAATGCAAGAGCTACCGCTACATTCAATTTTTTTTTTTCAATAACCCCCTGACCACTTCAATCCGATCACAATTGATTTTTGGCTAATCGCTATAGGTACTATTGATCACACGTAAACTATTACAAAAGGGATCGAAGTGGCAGATCCATTTCGCGATATCACTCCATCAAGGTATTAGCAACTCCACAGGTGTTTCCGGACTGGTCGAATTAATACATTTTAAAAATTTTTCGCCGGTAACCAATCACGTGCGATTCAATTGTCAACTGTTCGCAGATGGGGCAATCTCCCAATGCTTTTCAGCTTTCAACGCCTGCAGCGCCATCGTAGCAACAGTTTTGTCGGTGTGCCGTACCTTGCCTCGCCAATCTGTTTGCCCAAAACTAAAATCCCTTTGTGTTTTAAAAACTTTATTTACAAGTCAATAGACATTGTTCCCGCTCCTGATCGTTATTTTATTCTATTCTGTATGAGAATAATTGATCTGGAAAAGTGTTTTGTGAGAAACGGTTTAATTTAGAGGTTAGGTGGGCTTACTGGTCGTCTTTCTTTCGAGATGTCACGAAAAGGTGCCAAAGAATTAAAGGTTATGTTGTTTCGATTGGATGAAGGCGGATTTAAGGGTGCCCCGATTCCTCAGGGTTTACTGCCCTTCGTGGGATTGGCTCTTGGTAATAAGCCACCCCTCTCACCCTTGGTGTCAACGCTTAACCAAGAGTTCTTTGATGGTGCCGTTAGAGGATACACTTTCGTTTGGACGAAAACCAGGAAGGGTTGCTTTGGTCATACAGACTTCCTTCGGAAAATTGTGTTTATACAAGAATGCCTTTTGACTCGAGGGTTATGTCGTTCCGTGTTTATCCGGGTCCTCTTACACGAGATGATCCACGCTTACTTGGATATTACTGGGTGTTCCCGTCTGGAGAACGGTAAACATGGGCCAGATTTCAAGGAGAAGGTGAAGGAATTAAATAAGAGATTAAATTGTGATCTTTTGGATGACGGGGACGTAGACTGGGATAGATTGGAGCCAGCGAGTCTTAAAAAGAAGTTTGAATGTAATCGGTGTGGTAAAAAGGTTATGCGCACAATCAGTCGGCCACTGAGTAACTTGATCTTCATGCCCTGGTATGATGAGCATGATAAGTCATGTGGCGGTAGTTTCATCCTAACGTGAGTAATGAGGATATTATCTGACATTTTAGTTTATTTCAGTAAATCCGATCTAACGAAAGAATTCTGTTTCTTTTAGGGGAACTGAGATTCGTCCATGTGGCCTCACCCGCTAACTACCTGCATTATGTTTGTTTTTTATTTGGCTTATTTGATAGTAATAATTATATCAAATTAATAAATATAATAAAAAATGTAATAATGAGTAGTATTTGATTGATGAGTAGTATCCGTATTTGATTTAGGTTGGACAACTTGGAATAGGATTTTCAACTTTCTTATTTTAGTCATTTTCAGATATTTTCCCCGCTTTTTCCAATAAATTTATAGATGTACATTTATGTAATATTTTTCCATATGAGTTTGTATTTCATAGATTTATATTAAAAAATTTTATGTGAATGACTTTTCTCTTCCTTTGTTGTTTGACGTATTTCATCCTTAATAGTGACAGTACCGACCGGGGTTTATTTATTTGCGATTTTGGACGTGAATGGTGTTACCTATAAGTTTTCAATCTCGGACTTATAACTTCTCTGGGAGTTCGTGCTTCTAATGATTTACAGTCTGAAATTTCAACATTTGTTATTATAAAAATATTGTTAATTGAAATCTCGATGATTGTTTTAAACATTGTGAATTTCTTTGTTTTTCAATATTTCTTTTAACTTCAATTTCTGGTTCAAAAATTCCTGAATTGATATTACGCTACAGAATTGAACAACATCTGGGTGAATGTTACATAAATGTCTCTCCGTGTGGAACAAAATCACCTCATGTGACGTCACAAGAATTATTGGAAAGGGTTGTAGATTAATTTAAAAATATATATCGATATAATTTTACACGAAAAATTATATCATGAAATCCACTTATTTCAGGAGAATCCCCCCCCCCCCCCCCCCCCCCCCCCCCCCCCCGCCGGATCAACCAACTCCTTTTGGTTAGACACTGTAATTGCGTCAACAACTAGGTACTTAATTTAACCGGGGAATTGTCTCCCCATCACTTCGTTACGTTTAATGGATCTCGTAAAGGAATCAATCAATATTTGTCCACCCAATGGATTCATTTCGCTTCGTTACTTGAGGTAAGGAAAAACTTTAATGAAAGTATCAGTGATTCGTAGAAAAACAAAAACTTACATATAATGGCTTGAACCTTAGCTCGATCAAGTGCAGGTTTGACAGGTCTCTCAGTTGCTGTACCAGCTCTACTCCATCGTTGTCCTGTAACGGAGCAGGTGGCTAATTCCGTTGGGCTAAAAAGTATTGCTGCAAGACCCCTAGTTAATTTTCTGTAGTCGCTCCATTTCACAGCTCGCAATTGCTCCTCACACACAGCTATACCTTCGCCCAAATGCACCTGTAAAAATGAGGGTAACGTGTTAGTGTAGAAATAGCTCGGCATTTTGATAGTCAATATTAGAGGCAACATACTTCAACATTTATGGAACAATTTCTGTTGTGTTTCGCATATTCCAAATTTTTAATCTGGAAATCCCGTAAATACTCAACTCCCAAATGGAAAATGTTGCTATCATTTGACTAGAATGATGCTCGCTCGCCTATCGTTTGACAAACGTTTGACCAACAATCAACTAACGATCGATCCTTGATCGACTGTCATTCGATAATCGTTTGTTAGTTCGTGATCAACTAACGACTGATCGTCGATCAACAGGCAACTAATATATAATCAACCTTTGACCAGCTATTAACTAGCTATTGATCATTCGTCAACGGTTGATCGATCGGTAGTTGACTGCTGATAAAAGGTCCATCGATCATCAATCAATTGTACAAGTCCGCAATTTGAGAGACCATTTTTTACATTTCCCACATTTTTGTGACGTCAAAGGAGTCGTTGGATATGATTTCAATTAGGTAGGAAGGGGAACAGGATAATCCTCGATATAATTTTTACAAGAAAAAGTACTCATCGTTGAAAATTCTGCGGTATTACTTTGAACCCATTACACTGAATAAAATGTGGAACGCGCAGTCTCACTGAAATTTCGTGAATGTATCGACATTTCAAGTATAATAAATCTTTCTAATTTTCCCATTAATTCTCAATTTTCAAATGTGCTATTGAGAAACCAAAAAACCAACGGTATGAATAATCAAAAATCGATAGATGTGCGAGACGATATTTAATTTCGTCGTACCGTTTCAACTTAACAAAATACAATATTGTCGAGAACAGGTTTTGATGTTTCAATCTGTAGCTTCAATATTTCGAATGAAAATTTCATGTGTATGTATTCCAATCGACGAAGGTCAACGGGTGTCTGTTGTAACGAATCGTCTGTCCCTATTGTTCTTTGATACGGCATGCGTCCTAAATAAATCCTCGAACCCCCGTTCGACAGCTGAAAAAAGCCAAACTGGCATAGCTATCCCAGACTGAAGATGTGTATTCCAAATAAAGATTGACCCCGAATTTACTCGTTCAATATCCGAATAAACTAGTGCTCAGAAAAACAAGCTATCGGGGTTCCAGGTAAAATCTAGAACTCGTCCAGGGGTATCAAGGACTACAGGCTTGTTTCACTTAAAATAAAACTGAGGAGAGTCGCTCTTGACTAAGAGGAAATTCTCCCAGGAAGCCACTGGATTTATAACGGCAGCCATGTCTACAACTCTTACTCTTTACTCTTCCTTTCCCCCATTGATTGATCTACTGACTCGATGTTATTCAATTAACCCGATCCAACTTCCAGATAATTAAGCCTAATTAGATAATCCCGAGATTATCCTGTATATACACACACATAGGTTTATATTGAATTAGTATGTGTGTAGGCAGATAGGCAGTAATGAGAGCTGACCCCAACGGATAAACACAAAGTAATTGAAAATATCGTCCGCTATCGTCTCGAAACTGATGACTATGTCGAAATTTTCATCTTGAATCGTCTTTTCACTTACTAGCGCCAGCTGTGCCAATTCCTTCCTCAAATATGGTATCTTCCATTGAAAATGAGTTTAGGAAAATCTAAGTTCTGCTTTTTGGATGACAGAACGTTCATGTTACGTTTGTCGAGTGATTAGTTCAATTGTTAAAAATGCAATTTGTAAAATTTGTTTGGTGTATGTTGACGACATTTTCGTTGTGGATCGATCATTCAAAGAACATTTGCAGAGTCTTCATACCATCTGCGATAGACACTCCTCGGGGAATCGGCAAACAGGAAGAAATTTCCTTCTCAAGTCGTCTGGTCACTCACGTCGAAATTCGTTGTTCTCCAGAGAAAGTTTCAGCGATCATTGAATAGCCAACTCCAGCCAGCAAAACGTTTGCACTATCCTCTCATTATTGTTAATTTGTCAAAGAGTTGATATTCATTGTTGAACCTCTCCGTAAAATCTTAGAACTCCTCTTAACTAGTCATCTGATTATAAATTAGATGTTTCTCAATTAACTCCAATTTTAATTTCTCTTTCCATCCACGACAGATGCTACCCTTTCACGATTACAAGTCGACTGAGATGAAGTAATTGCTTATTACAGCAAATTTCTTGGTAATGCACAACATTCATTACTGATTCATTATTTTTTGGACCTGAAATTCGTCACTCAAATGGCCCATACATGCTTGAAATGGCTTACTTCCTTCAAGATGCCGGTCAAATAAGTTAGGTTAAATAGCTCATTGCATTAAATTTATCTTCTCTCAAAGGCAATTCAGTCAAACCAAATTCCAACTGCTTAGACAGCAATTCAGAAGACTAGCACAACTCCTCTTTATCCACAATCTAAACGGATGGTCGAACGGTTAAATAGAATAATCATAAGTGATTTCACGGAATTGGTAAATTTGTGAATGTCAATTAAACAGATTGGAACAAATGGATTCCACTCTTAGCCTTCCATACTTGAAAACGTCAAACGACTCGGTATACCTCGGCAATATTGCTGGTGGATTGAGCACTGAAACATCTTCAAGATGATTCTTCGAACATCACAGAATTAACATTCTAACTGCAGTTCCTTCCTGTGCATTTGAAGCCTCATACAATGTTCAGCATAGTTTTGGAATTTGGTAAATATCTAGTTTAACCCCACCAAACCATGCTATAAGTTGTGTGGTGGAGTGTCTTGATTTCCGATTCTTCCTTCAGGTTCTGGAACCCGTTCTTGAGAGAAAACGATTAGGTTAGGAAATATGTTAGTTAGTACACCGCTCTCTGTGTTATCCAGGGCCACGACGAGGACGTGGCGGTGTGACGGCCCCAAAGACATCACATGTTGATACACTGAAGACAATGGACCCACAGAAAGATGTTAGTTTTTTTATGATAATCCCGCACAGATCAATTAATCACCACATGTATTGCCTCACCTCATCTAACCACCTAATATCGCTGCCTTAATCCGACGAGTACCATACCCACCCCTTCCCTTTTGTAGTTATTCAAATTATTGAAAATAATATAATTCAGTCGGCGTGTCGACAGTGATAGAAGAGAGACGGGAGGGGTTCAAGAACTTCAGTGACAAATGAGGGACCTGCACGGAATTACAACGGTGTATTTATCTTTCCGCCTGTATTGGCTCTTTCTCACTTTCTCTGTTCACTTGCCTTGTCTTTTTCAGGAGGTTTTTCTTGGCTAATATCAAAGAAATTATAGTTTCAATTATATATATTTACGGTGGAGTTAGACTATATATATACCTGGAGTTTTCATTCTATTCGCTCGTATTTTATAAAGCATTGGACTGAGAATGATGGCAGAGACCAGTCAATAATATCGATTTTTTGTACATTTCGCGAATACCTTGAAAAATCTAAAGAACAGCTTGATTTGATTAATATTGTTGTTCATAATTAGCTATAGCTTAAAAGCAATCGAATGAAATGGGAATTCGATAGTAGAACCCACATGACTTGCTGTCAATCAAATCAAAATTCTGGTTCTTTATTCTAAACTGCAGTATGATTGAAAACAATGTTCTAATATAAGAAATAAATAGCATGATATATAGTTTATCGCATTCACAGCTGACCTCATTTCGAAGCCGAAGTGGTCAACATTGACAGGATTGTACAATATCAGGATTAACCTTTATTCATCCTCGTCTCCCAATATTTCCATAATTTATTTCATTCAATGTGTTTCATTCAATCACGGCTCATAATAAATCAATCATCTTTTTAATTAATTTATTTTAGTATTCCGAGACGATTTC